ACGAACCTCGCGTGTATTGGGGACGCGTGAATGATGAGTTGTCGTGTTGGCTGGTGGGTTAGCTACGGTTACCCCTCCAGACTGCAAGAATTCAGACAGCACCAGTTTGACGGTCCGTGTACTGCGACCAAGCAGTCGGGCTATGGTGCCAGTGACATCCACAGTGTTGTCCTCCCGTAGAGTAGCTTGTAGAGAGAGTATGTCGAGCTTTTCGCCGTACGTGAGACTGCGCTGACGGTGCTGTTTCACGAAGTCCTTCAATCGCTGTATTGTGGTCGCTTCCATGGTGTTGATATGGTTCGAGTGGCAATCGATGCAGCTAATCGATACAGTGATTTTGGTGGTAATTTCATTGAAATTGGAGAAGAATTGCAAAAGTTATCGCGATTTTAGTAAAATATAATTATTTTTGGTACGGATGTCTCACATTTCGGTGTATTATCCGTATGATAATGTCGTGGAGGCTTAATTGGTTTGTCGACGTCCATATAATATTTCAGCATTCCTCCTCGATCAATATCAAATTTCACAATGTATAAGAATTAAGTGGAATCAATTTGATTGAAATCGAAGAGCTTTTTCATGCTGTTGTGCAGTGTATCCTATTTTAGAGGATGTGGATGGCACTGTTTTATTGGAGACAATTCGACGAGTTCAACGCAAAAAGTTTCATCAAGATTGACCAAGCCAATCGAAAGATACCTCACTGGTGTCCTCGAAGGTGTCGCGGACTGTTAGTCCCCCCAAACTCACCGGCCAACCGACCTTCCGCAAGGTTGAGTCGGCTCTGGGTAGCCGGAACACTTCCCTCTTACCGGAGATATGACCCAGTGTCATTTCCAGGGCAACTCGCATGCCCGGACGATTGTCTTGATCATCCGTTGACGCGACCCACTTTTGCAGGAGTACTGGGACACCTTCGTACAGGTTGACTGCCGATTCCTTCGAGGCTTCGTCATCTTCAATGCCTTGCCACTTCACAAGCACTTGAAACTGTCCGTCGACTTCGCGCACTCTCATAACAGTTTCGAAATGGAAGCCACCTTCGCCGTACGCCACTTGGTCGAGGAGGTCTTCAGCCATTCCATTGGCGGCTTTACTGTACATCTTGAGACGGCAAGCATGACGAACAGTCTCAGCATGCGGCGGCACCAGTTTCTCGACTGCTATCACATGATCGGTGATGACGCGGGTCACTCGACAGGGACCGCGTCAGTGAAGAGCCAACTTGGTTGGGCGGCGCACAACCAATCCGACTAGCATGTAGTCTCCGGCGTCAAAGTAGGGGCACTTGACGCCAGGCTTGTTGTTTTGCCGGTCCAGCGCTTGAGCTCGTTTCTCTTCAATTGTCGCCGACACTTCTCGATGCATCTCGGCCACATGCATCTGTCTTTTATTCTTGAGCCGGTCCACTTCGTACACCTCCTTCGTCACGGTGTGCACAATACCGCTGAGCGGGGTCGAAGCCGGAAAGCCTCCAATTGCCGTCGCCGGTGCAACTCCACCAAGCCGGTCGGATGGTTGGTGGTACAACGCCCCTTGAACCAGCGTCAGTACCACAGGCCACTGATTTCCTGGAAGCCGCCACTCGCTCAACAGGGCCTTCGTCGCTCGCAACATCATGCTGTTGACCACTTCAATCGAACCATTCGCCCACGGGCTGTAGGCAGTTGTCACGTGGTGATTCGCGCCAACAAGCTTCCGCACCTTCACCATGACTTCGATCTAAAGAGCCGCCATCGGATATCCAAGCTGTCACTGCCCCTGCCGTGGTGAACCAATCCATCAACGCTGCTGCGGATGCTGAGGCGTCAGCAACAGCTGACGGAAACAGGCGAAAGAACACCCTCATGTCGTCCTTGACCACCAGCACATGCTCGAGCCCGCTGTTCGACGCGGGCAGGCTCAACCAATCAAAATTGATCAGCTCATTTGGCTTCTCCGCATGGAGAGCCGATCCCAGGGGTCACGGCGCCATCTCGCCATCGACATACATGCAAAGGAGTAGTGGCGTACGAAGTCGCCAACGTATTCCTTGAGTGACATCCAGTGAAATCGCTCGGCTACCGATTGGGATGTCGCGGCTACGCGGCGGTGTCATCCGCGCCTTGGTGCGCGAACACACATAGACGTTGCTGCAGATCTACAGCTTCGTCGGGGCGCCACGTCTTGTCATCGCTTGTCACATGGAACTTCGTCTTCTTGTTCCATTTCACACCGCCTGGGGCTTGACCGGTAGCCAGGTACTCCGTCTGTACCTTGAGGGTGGATACAGCTGTAGGCCATTTGAAATCCTTGTGTTGTATGGGCGACACCAACGCAACCAACTTGCGAACTCGCGGAAAGCAGGCACCGAACCCCAGCGGCTCAGCAAGTCTTCCCATGCGTTGTTTTCACCGGAAACACTCTCATTCATGTAGGAGAACGTAGACATGACCAGGTCCCAGTGTTGCAACTTGTCCGCTTGGTACTTGGCCGTATTCGGGCTTTGTCCCATTGGGTTGAAGATATGCACCAGGTTGCGGTGGTCTGTAAACAAACGAAAGCCACCGGGACGCACCAACAGGTAATCCAACCGCTTCAACCACGGCATAGACCTCCTTCTCCACAATGGGCCAACTCGAGCTTGCCCCACAAACGAGCCGCTAAGGAACGCCAACGGCTCTGGCGCTGCTCGACTATCTGGTTCAGTTCTTCAGGAGGGACTTGAGTTGCAATGGCTTCCCAAAAGCCATCGCTAGTGTCGATAAAGAGACATACTGTCTTGTCGGCCTGAGGGTGGGAGAGAGAAACGATTCCGGTCAGGGCCTCCTTCACCGCCTCAAAGCACTTTGTGTGCTAAGCAGCCCACCCCATGGCACTGACCGGGAGTTTGATCAACGCCGGCTTCTTGGCATTCTTAGGCAACGTGGTTCCAACTTCCAACAGGCGGAGCAACGGGTCCACCGGTTGACTGCGCAGCCGACATGGCACGGTTGTTTTCGATACACCAGGCCGGCTGCCTCAAGCTTGTCAACGTGACGATTGGCGACTCCACATGCTCGGGTGGATAGCGCCGCATCGAGCTCTTGACGGGCATTGAGCCAGGCTTGAGGTGCACCTTGAACGGCTCAACCTTGTATCAGTGGGTCCGCTCCAATATCCGTCCGGAACACCACGACATACATGGCTACCAAGATCTCCAGCTTGGTAACACCAGCTGGGCTGAGGCCTTGACTCTTGGCTTCATCCACTTTGATAGCTAGGACGGCTTCAAGCTCCGCCTGCTGACGTTGCCGGCTTTCTTCGTTGTCCTCACCATCCCGAATGTCCAGCTTCGGTGTCGCGCACTCCATCCAGCCGTCGGGGTCATAGTCTTCAACAATTGGTCTCACAGCTTGCACGTGATGGACCGTGGCGTCGACCGTCATGGGCAGGAAACTGCTGTCACTCAGGTCCCTCTCGGGCTTTTTTGCCCGAGCTTGGACAAGCAACGTATCCATCGAGAACCCGAGAGCTACAATCATTTGTCGTCTAAGGTGAGAGCAACGTCTTCATCGTTCGTCGATCCATACAAGCATGCCGCGCAGTAGCAGGGGCCCACACGTCGTCTCGAGCGCCACACTCATTCGTAGCCGCCTGCTAAGCATCACCGCAGTTGACGTTTTCCCATAAGGATACAGGGCAGTTGGTGTATCGTCCACCACCACTTGAACGTCGGCCTTGGCTTTCTTGAGGGCGCTAAACAGCTCAGCTGACACGACGTTGACGCTTGCACCAGTGTCCAACAACAACTGATCCACAGGGACAACCTCACACACCACAGCACGGCCTTCAATCTTCGTGCGCTCGCGGCTAAGGTCGATCATGTTGGCCGTCGCGCGTTTGTCACGAGCTTCTTTCCGGCCCTTGATTTGGGCTTGAATGAGCCCCTCTGCCTCATCCGACGCCGCCTTGGGGCAGTCGGATACCTTGTGGTCCGTCGACTGCACTTGAGACATATGCCTTTCTTCGCGTTTACCGCGTCGGTTGACGTAACACCACTTGGTTTTCCGAAGCCTTTGCCTGTACTGTCCTTCTTCTTCGGTGGCTCCTGCTTCTTGGACTCCGAGTTGCGAGATTCACCACACTTCAGCGTCGGTTTGGCGGGTTTCTCTTCATCTTCCACGCCGCCGTACATTGGTAGCCGACTGCGAACGTCCGTAGCAAGCGCACAAAACGGAAAACATCCGTCCGTATATGCTTGTTCCGTTGTAGCTGCATCTGCTTGTTCACAGCCGTCTGCAGCACCGAGGGATTGACCGCCTTGACCATCAGGTCCACCACAACCTTGCCCTCTTCGTACAATACCCAATACCCTCCAGGGATATCCCATCAAGCATCTTGCCCACACGCGACTCAGCGTCGACGATCTTGACGTCAAACTTGATAGCCGACTCAAGCCGCCTCAAGTCACGCGGCTCCTCTTGAGACGCATCGTTGAACAACATGATGTACAGTACAAGGCCAGCAAGGCCAAGTGACTAAGAAGCAATTTCGACGCAATGGGCCTGTTCACCAAGTACAAGGCTCGTCTGGTCATCAAGGGATTCCTCCAGCGAGAAGGCCACGACTACACGGAAATCTTTCACCTGTGCTTCGACTGAACACGTCGCATCTGGTGCTTTGTCTGGTTGCACGCCATGCTTGGACGGTGCGGCAAATGGACGTCAAGACTGCATTCCTCAACGGTGCAATGGACGAAGACACCGAAATCTACATGAAGCAACCACCCAACTTTGTCATACCTGGCCAAGAAAACAAAGTGTGCAAGTTGATCAAGGCCATCTATGGACTCAAACAAGCTCCAAGATGCTGGTACCTCACGTTGCACAAGTTCCTGGTGGACCTTGGATTCGTTCGTTGCGTCAAGGAAGTCTGCCTGTATGTCAAGCGAGTGGGAGATTCTGTGGTGCTCTTGACAGTTTACGTCGACGACATCACCGTGACTGGCAACGACGAAGTCCAAATTGAGGAAGCCTGCGACGCACTCAAGAACAAGTTCGAGATGACAGACCTTGGTCTCCTCAAGTCCATCCTCGGCATCCAAGTCCAAGTCAAGAACAAAGTCGTCACCATGACCCAAGAGGCGTATGTGGATGCGCTGTTGGAGAAGTTCAAAATGGTCGACAGCAATCCAGTGGCAACTCCTGAAGTCATTGGCCAAGTTCTCAGCCCTAGCAAGCTCATGGCTGAAGAAACACACAAATTGGGTCTACCGTACCGCGAACTGGTGGGAAGTTTGCAGTACCTCGTCACGTGCACCAGACCTAACATTGCAAACGCATGCGCAACCTCAGCAAGCACTTGTCGTGCTATGGCGAGAGTCATTGGAAGCAAGCCAAGCGCATTTTTCGCTACCTCAAGGGTACGAAGTAGGCAACTCTCAAGATCGACTGCACAGATATAGTGGGAGCGTTCCAAGTGGAAGCCTACTGCGACGCCGACTTTGCCAAGGAGAAGGACCGCAAGACCATCAGCGGCTCTGTGGTCATGATTTCCGGTTGCTGCATTTCAGCAAGATCAAGAAAGCAATCCATCGTGGCGATGTCGACTGCTGAAGACGAGTACATTGCACTGTCCGATGTGGTGAAGGAGTTGATTTGGTACTCCCAGCTCCTTGAAGAAGTTGGATACCCTCAAGGAAGAATTGTTGTACAGTCAACTTGATAAAAACTCGACAGAGTGGTACTGAATAAAATTGAGCATCCGATGAGCAATGCCGATTCGGCGAAATATAGTCA